TTAAGTCAGCTACTGCCTCAGCTCATCCTTGGCTTCAGTAGTAGACGCTCATGCTTTTAAATCCAGAGGTTTTTCAAGTTCTACAGCAAGTCAGCCTGGGCAATGATTACACCAGAACATTTGAGTGAAGGCTAATCTGCACTGAGCAGCAGGAGGTCTCTAGCCCCACTGCAAAGGAGTCAGAAGCACACAGGATGAAAAGGGGGCATAGAATGGAAGTGTCTGAGGTGTGGTCCTCATCATGATCATGTGGCATCCCTCTTAAGCCTAGCTTCTGGGCTGGAACAAGTTGATGTCTGCACAGCAGTGCTCTCATTAATGCAGGGTCAGGGTCCCCAGCACTCCCCATCTTCTTCACTGCTGACACACTGCATTCTTCACTGACGCTGGGCATCGTTGGGTCCGGAGGGGGCGAGAAGACAAACTTGAATACACTTGCGCTCTCTTTCATTTCATGTATACAATGTTTTGTGCCTTAACCGTGAAGTGTCCCCACCCTGAACTGGCAGGGCCACCTCAAGTGTGTCTACACTGCAATTAAAAACCCGTGGCTGGCCTGTCCCAGCGGGCTTAGGCTCCGGCTAAGGGGCTGTTTATTTGCAGTAGATGTTCAGGCTCAGGCTGGAGCCTGGGCTTTAGGACCCTGTCTGGTGGGAGGGTCCCAGAGCTTGGGCTGCGACATGAGCCGCATGGCTATACTGCAATTGAACAGCCTCTTAGCACAAGTCAGCTGGCACGGGCCAGCCGTGGGTTTTTATTGCACCCTCAGTCCCTCAGCTTTCGGTCGTTAAACTGGGACAGCGAAGGGGACCAGTGTTATGACCAGTCTGGAGGTCTTTTGTGATGTGGGCAGCTGTGCACTGGACTGAGGCTACCAACTTATTTGACACTGGTCACCAACCTGTCATCCCACAGTCACCACTTAAAATCCCTGGCAACGCCGGGGCATAAGGGCTCCTGTCCCTGGACCAACCCACTGAGCTCTTTCTTGCTCAGTCAGCTGAGCACTCAAGCTGGGAAGAAACGAGGCAGTGGTTTGTCGGTGTCTCGCTTTTGCCATGATCTCATCTGTCGGAGTTTGTTGCAGCAGCAGCTGATAACCCCTATTTCCCAGCAGGGCTTGGCAGGCACTTCGCTACTGCTGGGCTCATCAAGCAAAAGAACAAGCCGCGAGTAGAGGAGCTTTGGAGTGTCGCCGGCCAGGTGCGTGTCACCTGACATGCCTCTCGCTGTCATTTTGGCGTGGAGTTGCAGGTCTCAGGGCGCATGTGGTGCTGGCCTTAGCACGGCCGGAGCAACGCAGAGCTGACTGCATGCCATGAGGGCGACTGCTCACTTACAAACACCTCTGACTTCTACTCCCCCCTGCACTCCCTTCCCTGATTGCTGAGCATGTGCTCCAGGGAGCCCTGGGGAGAACCCTGACTCCAGTGCTGTTCAGACAGTTTCTCCTGTGGTGCCATTTCAGCGAAGGTCAAAAGCAGAGTGACTAGCTGGGAAAAAGAAAGGCCCTAATCCTTAGTGCTATCAGTGTGAAAGTGAATGGACAAAAGGCAATGAACTGCTACATAGACTCCCTGCACCAATATCTAGCTCAGGCAGGGGAAACTCCCATTGACTTCAGTGGAAGCAGGGTTAGACCAGTGCTGAGCAGCTTGCATGTGAAAATCCCACCCTGGAATGGAGAAGCCCTGTGACAGTAGATCACAAGGTCGCTCTCCCTGCCGGTGCAGGTCTGTTCCCTAGCGTATGTTCCATGGCGCTATCCTGTCTCAAAAGAACGGCGGTTCCATGTGTGCCTTCGGAAGCTGATCCACAGTCAAGTACACCTCACTCCTTGGATGCTTTTTTGGTTCTTTTGTTTTTGTTGCTCTTCAGTCTAAATTTTCCATAGCTCAGTTTCATCCCTTTACACCAAATACCAACTTCTGTTTCTCTAAATAACTGCTTGCTCTTTGGAGTTTACACCCTTCAAACATATGTGCACACTGCTGCTGTTATACTACCCCCAACCCTTGTACCAGTGTTTTCCTGTGGGGGTTCTGCTGTCTCCTTGAAGCCAGCGACTTATTACCTTGCCCAGATATTAAAGAAATAGGATTGGCTGCCTAAAGAGAGAGAATTTAGGGTGTGGGCTGAGCAGTCCTGAGGGAGGACCCATAGGAGCAGCCAAGCCTGGGTAGAAGGTTTGAGCAGAAGTTTGTTATATCATTGTTAATTTTTTGGTGTTAAATACAAACCCAAGAAAGGGGGTGAGCTTTGAGTCTTCTCAGTGTGTGGACACTGGTTTAGAGCAGGTTGGAAATTACATCTGCTCACACCCCTCCTTAGTGCTTTTATGGAAAAAATTCCATTGGGTTTAGTAGAGATTAAACCAATAGGGTTCTGGAGACATAACTCTGAAATCCCTAGAGTGTTCTATCCCTACTATAGACTCATGTAGGCTTGTTTAAACACTGATAATGAGGGTATCCTTCTCTATTCACTTCTGTAGGCTTTGTCCATAAGGGATGGTCCCTTAGCTAGGCAACCCACAATAAACTTAATCTTTCCTGCTTGACCAGACCCTTCAGCCCAGTACTCATTTTGAAGGCTATTATTTTCCGCATATCCACCTTCTTGTCATTGCCTTTCTGTTACAGAAGTGCCAGGGACTGGACTGGCTGATCCGAGTGCTAATTTATTTCACTCCGTTAAAAAGTGACTCTGTATAATTTGATTTGTAACAGTGACGGGCTGGAGGGCTCAGTGGTGGCATAGTCCTAGCAAGGGGCACCCGCACGGATTGAGATTTGGGGTGAGCTCCCTGCTTCTGCTGGAGTCATGCCTTCTCTGAATACTGCTACGCCTTCCCTGCCAGAAATGACTTGTCCCTGGGGGCTCAGAGCAAGTGTTTTGCCTTTCCAGTGAACCAGATCAGCGGTTCTCAACCAGGGGTCCGTGGTCCCCTGGGGGGTCTGCAAGCCCTTTAAAGGGGGCTGGGGAGCCCCACAGCTCGCCCTGAGCCCCAGCGCTGAAGCCGGGAGCGGTGCAGAGCTAAAGCCGGCAGCCCCACCCACGCCCCAGCCAGGAGCTGTGTGGGGCTAAAGACGGTGGCCCCCCCACCCTAGCCAGGAGTGGTGGGGGGCTAAAGCCGGCAGCCCCCCCACACCCCAGCCGAGAGCAACGCAGGGCTGATACCAGCACCCCCTCAAGCCCCCGAAGCCAGGAGTTGTGTGGGGCTGAAGCTGGCAAACCTCCCCACAAAGCCAAAGCAGCACTGGTAGCCCCCCACCCATACACAGCTCCTAGCTACCCCCTCCCTGCACCCTAAGCTACTCCTCGGCCTGCACACAGCCCCTAGCTACTCTATGTCTGCACCCTGAGCGGTTTTCAAACTTTTTGAACTGACTCCCCCCTTTGAGTTATATTTTTTGGTTGCGTTCCCCCCACAGCCCAGACATGCTCAGTGGCCTCCTGAGTGAGTCAGGGGGTGGAGGTGGCGCGCGCTCCCTCCCTGGATCCCCGCTGGGCGGGTCTGGCTTGAGCTCTGCCATCTCTTGCCCTCCCCCGCAATAGAAGTAGAACTATGCCTATGCCCAAGGATCCCCCAGCCCCGAGTTCCCAGCCCCCGCTCCCACTGGGCCCTGGCATTTTTATAGCATGTTGAAGGGGGTCTCAGCAAGAAAAATTTGAGAACCCCTAGACTAGCTTCTACCATTATCTGATATGTTAAGATAATGATTTCCCTGGGAGGATTCCCTGGGGCGCTTCGGTCTTGGGTGCATTTCAAGTGGCACAAGATGAACCCCTGGCCTAAACTGTTGATAGAGCTGGGATGTTCTTCTAGAATGAAGCACTAACATTTCCAGCAAGTGGCACTTCATAGAAGCATCTCTGACCAGGCTTGCTTTCTTGATTAATGAACACTTTCTTCAATCCTTCGCCCTTCTTCTCTGCAGCCCAAGTGCTCCTGGCAGACCAGGAGTACTAGGGGCTACATTTTAGTCGTAGCCTTTGGTAACATGAGAACAGCCATACTGGGGTCAGACCAAAGGTCCATCTAGCCCAGTCTCCTGTCTTCCGACAGTGGCCAGTGCCAGGTGCCCCAGAGGGAATGAACAGAACAGGTAATCATAAAGTGATCCATCCCCTGTCGCCCATTCCCAGCTTCTGGCAAACAAAGGCTAGGGACACCATCCCTGCCCATCCAGGTTGATAGCCATTGATGGGCCCAACCTCCATGACTTATCTAGTTCTTTTTTGAACCCTGTTATAGTCTTGGCCTTCACAACAACCTCTGGCAAGGAGTTCCACAGGTTGACTGTGTATTGGGTGAAAAGTGACAGCACCCACTGCCTTACAGTCGCATTGAGGGGTGGGAGTTCTACTGCTAACCGTGTGTCACCTCCCCTGTCCAGGGTTTTCTGTTTGAAATATATTCTGCCTGTTGTAATGTCAGACTGGATTTCTGTATAGGAGCTGGGGATCTTTTATTTGCTCAAAGCTATCAGGGTGAGATTATTTACAGGGAAGACCTGAAACTTTTTCTAACAGGACACGATGAGAGACAGGCCTGAACCAGAACCCCAGGTTGGAATCCCCGCATGCTTTCGTACCCTTACTCGCAAGAGCACAGGGTTAAAATATGGGCAGGGTGTGGGTGAAGACAGGGATTTGAGCATCCAGCTTTTCGCTAAGCCCTTGCCTCATGACTTGACAGCCACCTGGCACCAATCTCATTAATATGTGATATGGGTCCCCTGCCCAGCTCATCAGTTTTTCTCCTGTGCTTAGGTGCACAATTCTGCTCACCTGCCCTAGGCAGGATCAAGCCCTTTACACCATAAAGTGGTGTAACTTGCAGGGCTGCAGTTTGATCAGGTCACCTTTTCAGAGCAGAACCCAGGGAGGGTGGTGGCAACGCAAAGGGCAAAGTCCCTAGAAATGCAGCTGAATAAAAGAAAAGTCAAAAGTCATGGACCTCATTGTAATCTTTTATTTTTCCATTCCATTTTTAGTGCAAATAACCAGAGCCGTGAGTATGCTGTGATAACAGGGGACACTTGGGAGCGTAGGAGTTGCTGTATCGGAGCCGACCTTTAGACCTAAGCTGGCTCGCCAAAGTAAATAAAACCAATTGTCCTATTTTGCTTGGGGGAGGGCTAACCTCGCAATGACACCCTGGGCGAATGAAACATCCCACTGAGACCCCCAGCATGGTCTGACCCTTTGTGTCTGAGCTGCTATGAACAGATCAGACGCACATGTCACTTTCCATTGAGGATCTCCAGGGTGGGATCTCCAGGCCCAGATTATTGTCACACGGCTCTTCCTTGTGATTTTTCTTCTTCCCTTGCATTCAGAATATTGGCCTTCTCTTCTAATAAACAACTGCCCATAGCTAGTATTGGATCAGATTCTCCAGTAATAACCAGTAGGGTGATCAAAATAAAGGAATTTCAGTTTTTTTAATAGAAATGATTTCATACTGATGAGGTGCTGGATTAAGTTAAACATTATTGAATTAACTAGTGATTGAAATGAATAGAAAACCTGGTGTTGTCATCAAGTATAACATTTTTCAGAGTAGCAGCCGTGTTAGTCTGTATTCGCAAAAAGAAAAGGAGTACTTGTGGCACCTTAGAGACTAACCAATTTATTTGAGCATAAGCTTTTGTGAGCTACAGCTCACTTCATCGGATGCATTCAGTGAAAAAAAAAAATTGTCATCTTCCCAGAAACCCTATTCAGACAAAATCTAGAGTGACCTGTTCTAGGGCTTTGTATTTTATGGGTTGGCCATGTCTTCAGGATCTGGTTGAGTATGGGTTGTGATGTCCTGGGGGTGCACATCTAGATGTCTGACGAGGACCATAACCAGAGATTGAGGATAAAAAGTACATCCTAATCTTTACACCAAAACACACACACACACCGTGCATGGTGGGGCAGAATTTTGGGAGCTTAGTTAGCATAGTTTGGGTGCTTGTGTAGTGCAGACGTGATCAATAAAGGTCATAAACCTAAAGTTTCAAATGACTAGTGATTTTGGGTACCCAATTTGAGACACTTTTAAAGAGGGCTTGATTTCCATAAAGTGCTGACCAACTGCCCTCTGAAAACCCAGCCCATTTAATATCCCTCATGTTGAGGACCCAAAAAATGAGGGATCCAAAATCACTATTTGTTTTTGAAAACACAGGCCATAGTTTATCACTCCAGAGGCTCAAAGCCTTGATTTAAAGAATTCTCCCCTGTGACCTGGGATGCAGCCATGAGGTCACCTCTTTGGCCAATCACTTAGTATGAAGATGTTCCAAGTGAGATGCCTGCATTGAAGAGAGGATGGAGATGGACTCCTGGGGCTGGAGGTTCAGGACTGGTGCATCCACACCTAAAACACTCTGGCTCCATTTGATGCTGGTACATATGAGGGAATTCAGAGGAAAGCCACACAAATGTTTACCAGGCTGGAGAAACCGACATAGGAGGTAAGAGAGAGAATTAAATACCAATAGTTTGGCTTCAGCAATAACGAGGAGGAACAAGATAAGCATCTGCAAGCGTATGAAGGGTAAACAGCCAAAGGGGACAGGGCTTGTTTAGGGTGATCAAAGGGAGAATGTTTAGCAAAAAAGAGAGTAAAAATTTGTAAAGGAAAATTTTAGTATGACTGTCATGGGGGGAAAGCTTTTTATTCCACAGCCTCCTACAGCTCACGTTTAGTCTCTCCAGGGAGGTGGTGGAAGTTCCATTGCTTAGGACATTTCAAACCATACTGGAAAATGTACTGGAGGGAACAATTCCACCCAAGCCCTGTGATGGACCAGGTGGGACCTCCATGGAGGAATGTTCCATCCCCAGTGACTGTTATTTTGGCCTGAGAGGTATTGCAGCAGTGACTCGGTAGCTGGGTCACCTTAAACCGATCAGACCCCAGTAGACTGCTGTTGGGCAGCGCTGCAACACATACCTGCTACAGCACATGTCCTGCTCCTCCAGCTCCGGTGAGCACAGACCTCAAGATCCCCAGATGGAGAGGAACCAGAGCAGTTCTGCTGCATGGGGACAGACAGGATTTGGGGAGCCTATGCAGCAGGGCTTCCTGCATGCTCTTGCCCATAGAGGCACACAGAACTGGGCAGGGGCAGATTAGGGGAGGAGCAGAGTCAGTGGATCTGCTGCTAGCGGAATCCACCAGCCATTGCTTCCCACAGGAGAAGCAGGGTCTCAACCGCCATGGGAGTTAACACAGTCACAGGAGCAGGTGCAGACCAGTAGCTGTCCTGCTCCGCAGGCTGGGAGGGGAGTATTCCTGCCCCAGTGCACACAGCCCAAGTGCTCAGAGACACATTTGCTCCTCTGTGTTCAGTGCTCAGCAAAGGCGAAATAGTAAATAAAGGCAATCCAGTAACTCTCTCCTTTTCCTCTCTTTCAGTGCCACTGACTCATGCCTCAACTTCACCTCTGAGTTGCCATGGCCAAGTTAGAGACCGTATCTGCTCTTAGTGACCCAAGCTACCAGAGCCAGGACACCTTCCACTCGTTTGCCTCCAGGCCCTCTGAATCTGCCCCCCAAAACACTATGGGAAGCGTGGGCAGCGGAGTCGCCAATGAGCAAGAGTTTGCGATGAAGAGCGTGGGAACCAGGACTCAGAGCAGCAGCAGGCAGGCTGATGGCTCACGGAATGGCTATTCCACGCGGGAGATCTCTAACCGTTACTCCGGGGAGGAGAAGACCTACAAGTCAGAGAAGATCTCCAACTCCCTCTACATCAATGGGGACCTGCGCAAGAGTGAGAAGATGAAGACAGACATTTGTGGGAACGTTACCACCAACAACGAGAAAAACCTGCCACCTCCTCCCCAGTACAGAGAACCCAGTAACCCACCAAAGATATTGCCAGTCTCTGGCAAATTGGACCAGGTAAGATTCCAATATACCTTGGTGCCCTGTGACGCTTGCAGGGCGTAAGTCCAGTGATGCAAATCCAAACAGTGAAGCAGAGAGAACAGGACAGGTCTTGGTCTGTAATTCTCAGTGGTCTCAGGAGGCTAAGCAGAGTAAAACTCTACCTTCTGGGACCTCGTGGGATTGGTAATGAGTCTTTCACTGCTAGGCTACCCAAGTCAGAGTTAGGTCCAGATTTTTAAAGGTATTTAGGCATTCTTAGCATTGCAATGTCTCTGTGAGTTAGGAGCTGAAATATTTTCAAAAGGGATTTAGGCACTTAGGAGCCTGTGCAGGTGTCACAGATGTACGCCTCCATGTAAAAAGAGTTGGCTAGTGGCAACAGGGAAGCTAGACTCGTGAAACCCCAGACAAGTCCCTTCACCTTGCTGTGCTGAACTGATACTTGAAATATTTTGAGATGCTCCAGTGAAAGGCTCTATGTGGGTTCAATCCAAAGCTTATTGAAGTCAGTTGAAAGACTCCCATTAATTTCAGGTTTCAGAGTAGCAGCCGTGTTAGTCTGTATTCGCAAAAAGAAAAGGAGTACTTGTGGCACCTTAGAGACTAACAAATTTGTTTGAGCATAAGCTTTCGTGAGCTACAGCTCACTTCATCAGATGCATTCAGTGGAAAATACAGTGGGGAGATTTATATACATAGAGAACATGAAACAATGGGTGTTACCATACACACTGTAACGAGAGTGATCACTTAAGGTGAGCTATTACCAGCAGGAGAGCGGGGGGGGGAGGGGACGACTTTTTGTCGTGATAATCAAGGTGGGCCATTTCCAGCAGTTAACAAGAACGTCTGAGGAACAGTGGAGGGGGGGGGGGAATAAACAAGGGGAAATAGTTTTACTTTGTGTAATGACCCATCCACTCCCAGTCTCACTGCTATGGGTACCCGCATGGCCCCACAGTATGCCAACATTTTTATGGCTGACTTAGAACAACGCTTCCTCAGCTCTCGTCCCCTAACGCCCCTACTCTACTTGCGCTACATTGATGGTATCTTCATCATCTGGACCCATGGAAAAGAAGCCCTTGAGGAATTCCACCATGATTTCAACAATTTCCATCCCACCATCAACCTCAGCCTGGACCAGTCCACATAAGAAATCCACTTCCTGGACACTATGGTGCTAATAAGCAATGGTCACATAAACACCACCCTATACCAGAAACCTACTGACCGCTATTCCTACCTACGTGCCTCCAGCTTTCATCCAGACCACACCACATGATCCATTGTCTACAGCCAAGCTCTACAATACAACCGCATTTGCTCCAACCCCTCAGACAGAGACAAACACCTACAAGATCTCTATCAAGCATTCTTACAACTACAATACCCACCTGCTGAAGTGAAGAAACAGATTGACAGAGCCAGAAGAGTACCCAGAAGTCACCTACTACAGGACAGGCCCAACAAAGAAAATAGCAGAACGCTACTAGCCATCACCTTCAGCCCCCAACTAAAACCTCTCCAACACATCCTCAAGGATCTACAACCTATCCTGAAGGACGAACCATCACTCTCACAGATCTTGGGAGACAGGCCAGTCCTTGCTTACAGACAGCCCCCCAACCTGAAGCAAATACTCACCAGCAACCACACACCACACAACAGAACCACTAACCCAGGAACCTATCTTTGCAACAAAGCCCGTTGCCAACTGTGTCCACATATCTATTCAGGGGACACCATCATAGGTCCTAATCACATCAGCCACACTATCAGAGGCTCGTTCACCTGCACATCTACCAATGTGATATATGCCATCATGTGCCAGCAATGCCCCTCTGCCATGTACATTGGTTAAACTGGACATCTCTACATAAAAGAATAAATGGACACAAATCAGACGTCAAGAATTATAACATTCAAAAACCAGTTGGAGAACACTTCAATCTCTTTGATCACTTGATTACAGACCTAAAAGTTGCAATTCTTCAACAAAAAAACTTCAAAAACAGACTCCAACGAGAGACTGCTGAATTGGAATTAATTTGCAAACTGAATACAATTAACTTCGGCTTGAATAATAGAGACTGGGAGTGGATGTGTCATTACACGAAGTAAAACTATTTCCCCTTGTTTATTCCCCCCACACACCCTCCACTGTTCCTCAGACGTTCTTGTCAGCTGCTGGAAATGGCCCACCTTGATTATCACGACAAAAAGTTTTTTCCCTCCCGCTCTCCTGCTGGTTATAGCTCACCTTAAGTGATCACTCTCATTACAGTGTGTATGGTAACGCCCATTGTTTCATGTTCTCTATGTATATAAATCTCCCCACTGTATTTTCCACTGAATGCATCCGATGAAGGGAGCTGTAGCTCATGAAAGCTTATGCTCAGATAAATTGGTTAGTCTCTAAGGTGCCACAAGTCCTCCTTTTCCATTAATTTCACTGAGCTTTGGATTGGACTTTATCAGAGCAAATAATTGCCATCACTAACGTTTTTTCCATACTAGTCCAAGGGCTTACTTTAGTTTTCAATAAAAGGGGGTATACTCCTTTTAAAAACACACCCTTATTGACTAAAGAAAAGTCTTTCAAAACATAGTCTGACTCAACAAATAGCACCATGGAACTTGAAGATAACGCTCAACAAAGAGCAATTTCTATCTGGGCTGTTAAACAACTCCAACCCATGGGAGGATGACACCTTTTTCTCTTACAGAGAAGAAAATGGTGATCACCTGAATAGAGCGTAAAAGGATAATGGTAGGATCTTGGAATAAATCCTGATTCAGTTCAGTCACAGAACGAGAGAGATTGAGAGGGGGAGTGGAGTGCTTTGAGCTCAGCACTGGCAGGAGTTACTCATGATGTCCATCAAATATGAAATCAAAAAATCTACAGTGTCTTTCAAAGTTGAGCAGTAGAAAACCATGAGGCCTGATTCTTAGCTGGGGTAAGTCAGTGTTGCTCCATTGACTCTAACAAAGCCTATAGAGTTACACTGATTTACCCCAGTTCTGGATCAGGCCCGTGATCTTTTGTGTATTGTTACAAAGCCTCCTGGCTACGTTTGATGTGTGATTCTTTTTTCGTTTGCAGAGCAATGAGCCCTTAGTTAGACCTTCAGCCTTTAAACCAGTAGTTCCTAAAAACTTCCATTCCATGCAGAATCTCTGCCCGCCGCAGAACAATGGAATAACTGAGAACAGAAAGAGCTTGAATCACACCAACAGCAATAGCCCGTCTGCTGGCAAAAGCGGACTGGAGAAGACCAGCCTTAATAGGACTACAAACCAAGTGGGAGGTCTTTCTGATTCTGGCCGTAACTCTTTGACGAGCTTGCCCACTTACGGGACGGGCTACAGTCAGCACGTTGGCCCAATGAGTGCTTCAACTAGTCACATAAACCGCATTGGCACAACCTATGTAGATAAGAACACAGGGGGATACAATGGAATATCTACCTCAGACAGTGGACGGTCTTCAAGCAAGAGTACTTCTTCTTTCAATAGACTCAACCATCTGAACGAAACAATGCCTTTCCACTCACCCTCGACAGATGACGTTATCCAGGACCTGGAGGACAGGCTGTGGGAGAAGGAGCAGGAGGTCCTGCAGATGAGAAGAAACCTGGACAAAAGCGAGGCTGCCATCTTCCAAGTGTTTGAGGAGAAGCAAAAAATTTGGGAGCGTGAAATGGAGGACCTCAGGCAAAATTATGCAAATAAACTGCAGCAGGTCTCCAAGAAGGCCCAGAGGGCTCAACAGGCCTTGCAGCTCCAGATCTTCAAGCTCCAGCAAGAGAAAAAAAAGCTCCAGGATGATGTGGGGCAACTTCTCCAACAGCGAGAAGAGCTAGAGAAAAAATTTGTGGCTTTCAAGAAAGAACAGGCAGAGTTTCTTCCCAAGATTGAAGAAACCAAGTGGGAGGTAAGGACCCAGAAAAATAACAGCATTACACTAGTTACACTGGTGTCTGGGGAGCGAAAGCATCAGTCCGCGTTAACACAGATCCCAGTCCAGCAAAGCACCGGAACACTAATTTCAGGGGGGCTTCTGACATGTCTAAAGCTAAATACATGATCGAGTGCTTTGCTGGATCAAGGCCCTAGCAGCAAAACATTTAGTTAGGCGAGTACAACAAACTCAGATAAAATCCTCCGTGTAGAATGGACTGAAGGATACCTTGCCCAAGACGTTAGCAATCTGGGCATGAATAAATAATTGCTCAACACCAAAGATTAGTAGACGTGTTGTGCTTGTGGCCACAGCAGAACGGCGGGACTCCAGCCTACTGGGTTCTCTTCCCAGCCTGCCTACTCTTAAGTCATAGAACCTCTCTTTGCACCTTATTTTCCCCAGTGGGATGATAATACCATGGGGATGTTTTGAGCTAGGGTTCATGAAGCATTTTGGGGTCCTCTGATTTTAGAAGTGCATGAACTGCTGGGAAAAGAAATGGGGGTTCCCATTGTGCCCATTTGCCTTTTATCTCTGTCAACGTCTTTTATCTTACTCCCATTGGTGGCAGAGAGGTTGTGAGAATGGCACAACCACCCTCAATAACTGGTGCAAATTATTATTATCCTTGTTACATCCGGATTTGGAGGCTTCTTCTGATCTGTTCTATGGCATGTGGTAATACAGCCAAGGCTTCGTCCACACACCGAGTTGCTCTGGATTAACTAAAGCTGTGACCTCTTCTTAAACTGATTTTAGTTAAACTGACGCAACTTTGTACGTGCACTCTCTTTAGTTGGGTTAAATCTGGTTTATGTTGGTTCAGCTGGTAGGTGGCAGCTAAGCTGATGTATGTCAGGTTTAAACTGATGTGTGTCCACATAGGGTTTGCACCACTGTTAAGTAAATCAGTTTTTAAACAGATTTCAACTAAACTGGCGGAACTGCTGTGTTTAAACAAACCCTTGAATTCACAGCTCATATGCTTTGTTTTTTAATTTAATTGGCAGTGATGCCTGTAGTTAAGGCTTCCTAACCCTTTCCATTATCAGACTCAATTTTCAGTTGCTGACACGTTTACCAAATTTTAACAGTTCAGGCTGAAATTTTCCATTCCTGGTCTCTGCCTCAGGCTGACTTCATTTTTATAAGTGAGTTTCAGCCATTTCCAAGAACAACGTTTGCTGAAAGGAAGTAGTTTTCCCAATGTTAACATATTTGCCCTAATTAGGGTTGCCAACCCTCCAGGATTCTCCTGGAGCCTCCAGGAATTAAAGTTTAATCTTTAATTAAATATTCTGTCATTTGATGAAACCTCCAGGAATATGTCCAACCCAAATTAGCAACCCGAGCCCTAATGTTGCTTTGAGTTTTTTTGAAGAGCTCTATCACCTCCATGAACTGGAGTGGGAACAAAAAGATTTAAAAGGGGGATAATTCTGGGGTCAAGGAGTTCCCCCCTGCTCACCCCAAGAAAAGCCACTCTGATTTGGCCAAGTTATAAGCCACTGAAAATTGCCTTTTGCACATGTTGTGCTCTTGTGAATAGCTCTTGCTTGCTCTTCCAGGTGTGCCAGAAGGCTGGTGAGATCTCACTACTCAAGCAACAACTGAAGGATTCCCAAGCTGACGTCTCTCAGAAACTGAACGAGATAGTGGGGCTGCGGACTCAGCTCAAAGAAGGTAAGAACTTCCTGAGAGAGAAGGAGGAGCAGATCACCACCCTGAAAGACTCCTACAGCTCCAAGACTGTCAACCTGGAGATCTGCGAGAATGAGCTGCAGAGAAAGATGAATGAGGTGCAGATGCTAAGGGAAAAACTCAACCACTGTGAGCTGGAGGTCTCTGGCCTGAAGCAGACGCTGGCCAGCATGGGGCACCATGGCCATTTCAATGCAGAGCTCACCGAGAAACTAAGGGACCCCTTGGCCTGTGAGAGCGATGAGGCCAAGATGAAGCGCCAGAACGAGGACCGTGTCATTGCCCTGAAGAAGGAGGTGGAGCGGCTCCAGACGGAGCTGAAGCTGGAGCGCCAGCAGCTGGAGCAGCAGGTGATGGACTTTGAGGAGGAGCGGCGCACGTGGCAGGAGGAGAAGGAGAAGGTGATCAAATACCAGAAGCAGTTACAGCTGAACTACGTGGAGATGTACCAGAAGAACCAGCTCCTGGAGCACAAGGTGAATGAGATGACCACCAAGGCCACCAGCCCACCTTACGCTGAGGAGAAAAAACCATGGACTCCATCCAGGCTAGAGCGCATAGAGTCCACTGAGATCTAACACGGGACCAAGTCAATAAAAGTAATTTTTATTACTGTGCATGTACTACCTACTCCTGCCAGTGATCTTCCTAAGGATGATGTGCTTTTTCACCAGAGGTGTAAATGCACCAAACCCCCCACCCTTTCTCTCTTCCTCAGTGCTCTGTAAGTAAACTAACCGTGGGTGTACATTGTTATACTATTGATGATGCTACATCGGTTTCTCCTGGTACAGCTAGGAAGGGCCCAGTGGCCCTTTTGGAATCTGCCGTGACTGTTACTTCTCTATATGCTGCCATCCCTTCCACCATCATCAACTCCCCTGCCCTGTCCATTTGTTCCTCCCCCCCGCCCCTCCCTGTCAGTTCATGCAGCAAAACAGTGCAAAGTGACAGGGTTTTTCAGGGCATTTTAGCCACATTGGCTAACAGAGCAAAGCTCTTGGGATCAGAAGAACCGTGCAGTTCAGCACATCACGGTATCCTATCTCCATGATACTTGTCTGACAGCCTAATCCAATGAAGTCAGTAGGAGGCTTGCCATTGACTTCAGTGAAACCAGGCTTTGACCCTATTCCGATAGGTCTCTATAGCAAGTACATTGCTAACAATTGCCAAGGTCCATGATGTCACTAGGGGTTAGAATAAGCCAGTTGAGGTACAATGAGCCGACACCAACCGCTGCCCAAAATGACCCGAGAGCTGCGTTTGAGGTTCCGAATACATGCTGTGCTTTCGCTTTGATATTTACATTCCCGTCCCCTTCCACTTCTTGGCAATGACCAGGACTAGAAGCAGAAATGGCAAATTGTAGCAAACCCCACTGTTTTTCCTGTATTTCTGGCCTGGCCAAGATAAGGAATCCCCAGTGATTCAGGCAGCAATTCCCAGTCCTCAGGAGAGATCCCAGAGGAAAGAACTTGGAGTAAGCTTCAGAGAAGCATTCAAACTCCTTCCATGTTTGTCCAAACCAGAAATTAACGCGTGGGGGATGCCAAGTGGTGACACTATCCCATTCCCAAAGAAAGGTGCCAGGGTTGCATTTCCTCTTGCCGTTGTTCCCTGTCGAGGTGGCCTAGTTACAAAAGGGCCTCAGGAAACCACCCACACATTTGCAGACTCTGCTCTGCTAGTGAACAAGCATCAGCACCATGTATAGATGTGGCAGGAGTTAAGACCCTCGCATAGGAAGTAAGTTAGGCCCCAGTTCAACAAAGGCCTCAGCTAGGCATGTGCTTAAGAACCATACTGAGTCGGAGCCGTAGAAAAATCCTAGGGGCCCAGTTCTGCCTGCAGATGCAGGTGCACAATCGCCAAGTCTCACACCGGGACCCAAGGGCCGCATTCAGCCATAAATGGGCCTGATTCTGTCTCCTACTAAGGATGTGTCACACCCTTCCGGAAGTGTAAAGGGGTCTTCAAATGGGACTCAGTCGGAAGCAGTGGTGTGCGGGAGACTCAGTGTAACTCAGGAGGAGGCCCGGTGTCCTTTCCAGAGGCAGAGCTAGAAGGAACAAAGGGTGTAGAATGAGCAGCGACGCAAAGCCCTACACGGTGATTTCAATGAGCGTTCAGGCCCAAGCGTGTACTGAGCGAGAAAGGCAGGATGAGAGGCTCAGCACTGGGAAAAGAGCAGCCAAGAAAAGCATGGAAGCTGCTTATTTTCCATATGTCCCCTTAGCTGAGCTCTCACTACGAGCTGGTGGCTCACAATTCCTCGGGGGGAGGGGAGGAGTTGAACTTTTGTTGGGATTTAGAACATCTTGGGGAAAGCCCAGCAGTCAGCAAGCAGGGCTCACTAGAGAATGGAGAAACTGACCAGTTCTCAGGGAGTTTCTGTTGTTTTCCCAGCTGACTTTGCCCTTTGAGCACGCACCAACAGGGACCAGCATGGGCTACGGGTGGTGCTGGTGGATGACAATGGTCGTTGTTGCTGTACAAGTGAAGGCATCTAGCGGGATGACCTGTCGCAGCCTGTCCTGGGAAACAGCAATTGATCTTGAGGGCTCCTCAGTTTTCCCCCTGCTGCTCTTGTGCTAGGGGAGGCAAAGAAAATATATGGCATCAGTCCAGCAAAAACTAAAGCAAATACCTGTGAAACTGGCTGTCCCAGAGAGGAACCCAAGCCAGCTGTCTCAGAAACGGCCTTGGATTGATGGCCAAATGGCACTGTCCTGGTCTAGGTGTGGGCTATGTAGGACAAGGAGTGGGCCTGGCTCTTGGAGATGGGGTTCACATACTGAATATACCGGGTGGGCCTGAAGCAAAGCCCAGTAGAAAGAGTCTCATTGACTTAACAGGCTTTGGATGAGGCCCTAAATCAGTTTCTGCTCCGTTGAAGTCAGTGGAATGACTCCAGTATAACATCCTTGTGAGAGAGGAGTCAGGCTCTGACCATGTTCCCTGTAGCCCAGTTATGGGAGCGGAAGCACTTACAGTAGGAGGGAGATTGGCGTCAGTGGGAGCAAGATCAGTGGCAAAGCTCCCAGTCATATGAAGAGGAGCAACCTTAGCCACCGTCATCTCTGTCTACAGAGCCAGGACGGTGCGGGAGGGGGCATTGCTTCCCAGCCACCATCCGTCGACAAGGGCTTCAGCAGGGCACATTATTGCATTCCAGTCTTAGCAATGGACGAGACCTGGCATTAGCATTGCAAGCTTGATTTCTTGCTGTGCTGCCCATTTTTAGTGGTGCAATTGTGTCCCTGCTCAGGTTTCCAGGTGCCAGTCATTAATCCGCCCCCAGCCAGGCAGCAGAGTTGGCCATAATAAGTGCTGCTTGAGGGTGCACAGGGCTGAGGCTGTGTGCATAGAGCAGCATGCAGACACCAGCGAATAGGGCTCGGCTAGAACATTGGACCTGGCACCGTTTCCAGGCCAGGGCGTTTTCCCTCCCCGGTGCCTGCAGTTATAGTTCCTGGAGAGCTGCAGCCTGGCTTTCAGCAGCAGGCAGTGCAATTCCACAGGCAAACGTTCTGTGCACCCGGAGTGGGGCGTGTCTAATATGCATGTTGGCCTGTTGGAGCCATACCTGGGCCACATGGGTCTGCAAATGCCTAGTTTGTGTGCGAAGGCTGAATTAAGCGTGTATGAAATTAGGCCCTATTTCTGTCCTTTTAAATTAGCTAGACCAGTTCCTCAGCTGGCGTAAAGCAGAGTAACTCCCTTGACTTGAATGGAGCTGGCCACCTGCCTACCCTGTGAGGGCTGGATCCTGCAAAGTGCTGAGCACCCTGAGTCCCCATCAGTCAGCGTGACGGGCTGAGTGCCCTAAACCTTCAGAGTTAGGCTTCTTCATGAGTTAAGCGATGGGGGGGGGGGGGTCTGATTTCTGTTTGTGTGAGCTGGGGCAAGCCACCTTGCTGTGCCTCAGTTTCCCCATGAATTGAACCAGGATAACCATCCTTCCCTACCTTGCAGGGATGAATTTATTCCTGTCCCCAAAGAGCTCTGAGCTCCTTGGATGGAAGGGAAAAGGGCTGAGCAACTACAAATATTTTTAATAGATTTCAGACCAACCTTACATGTCATTTTTCAGGCCATCATTTAACAAGACGATGTTTAGGGGAACAGGATCCACACTCCGAATGGGATGAGCCCCAGGACCTGTTACAGCTCCTCCATTACTAGGGGTGAAATTCTGGTTCAAATGAAGTTGATGGCAAAACTCACACTGAATTCAGTGGTGCCAGGAGTTCCCCCTATCATTCTCAAGGGCCCCAATCAGCCTTTGAGAATGTTCACACCCCTGATGTTAACCTGTGTTAGCATCAACTAGCAGTTCACATTGTTGCCGTCTACCCACTCAATACATACCTGAGATTCCTACTGATGCCTAACAAGTGCAGAACAGACCCTGATTGCAGATTTACGTGTTCTGCAGGAACATTCCCTAAATAAAGAGTGATCTAATCAGATCAATAGTACACTTCCTGAAAGCTCCTTCAGGGTATGTCTACACAGCAAAGAAAAACCCGCGGCTAGCCCGTGCCAGCTGACTCAGGCTTCGGGGTGGGAGCTTGGGCTGTGGGGCTGTTTCAGTGCTGTGTAGAATTCCGGGCTTGGGGTGCATCCTGGGCTCTAGGACCCTGTGAGGATCCCAGAAGTCTATACAGCAATGAAACAGCCAAGTCCCATGAGCCAGAGTTGGCTGGCACACCCAGAGGCGTCTAGTTGCTTTGTAGATATACCCTAGGTGTGTCCCAGAGTAGGGAGGCCAACAATCCATGCATTAAAAAGCCCCTAAATGCATATTTATCCAATGCACTGAAGCATCCCAGATCTTTGAGTAAACAGGCAGGTGGTGTGTTTTAAGACCACCCTTAATGTCCATTGTCCACCATTGATCGGGGGGGGCGGGAGGGGGGGGGGTGAAGATTCTGGGCCAGAACCTCAGCTACTGTAAATCAGTGTCACTCCACTGAAGTCGGAGCTAGACCAGCTGAGGATCTGGCGATGTTTAAGAGACATTAAGGCTGTGATAGGAATCAGCCAGTGCAAAGGGAAATCCAAGAAAAAGCTGAACCTTGAACACTCCACCGCCCCTTACTTAACTGGCTGTTTTCTATGCAAATTAGCCAGACACTTTAACAAGCCAGACTCAGCAAAGTCACCATTTCATAGAATCATAGAATCATAGAATATCAGGGTTGGAAGGGACCTCAGGAGGTCATCTAGTCCAACCCCCTGCTCAAAGCAGGACCAATCTCCAACTAAATCATCCCAGCCAGGGCTCTGTCAAGCCTGACCTTAAAAACCTCAAAGGAAGGAGATTCTACCACCTCCCTAGGTAACACATTCCAGTGCTTCACCACCCTCCCAGTGAAAAAATTTTTCCTAATATCCAACCTAAACCTCCCCTACTGCAATTTGAGACCATTACTCAATGGTAGCAGATGACAGAACAAGGAGAACAGTCTAGATCCATCCTCTTTGGAACCCCCTTTCAGGTAGTTGAAAGCAGCTATCAAATCCCCCCTCATTCTTCTCTTCTGAAGACTAAATAATCCCAGTTCCCTCAGCCTCTCCTCATAAGTCATGTGTTCCAGTCCTCTAATCATTTTTGTGGCACTCTGCTGGACGCTTTCCAATTTTTCCACATCCTTCTTGTAGTGTGGGGCCCAAAACTGGACACAGTACTCCAGATGAGGCCTCACCAATGTTGAATAGAGGGGAATGATCATGTCCCTCCATCTGCTGGCAATGCCCCTACTTATACAGCCCAAAATGCCATTGGCCTTCTTGGCAACAAGGGCAAACTGACTCATATCCAGCTTCTTGTCCACTGTAACCCCTATGTCCTTTTCTGCAGAACCGCTGCCTAGCCATTTGGTCCCTGGTCTGTAGCGGTGCATGGGCTTCTTCTGGACTCTGCACTTGTCCTTGTTGAACCTCATCAGATTTCTTTTGGCCCAATCCTATAATTTGTCTAGGTTCCTCTGTATCCTATCCCTACCTTCCAGCGTATCTACCGCTCCTCCCAGTTTAGTGTCATCTGCAAACTTGCTGAGGGTGCAGTCCATGCCATCTTCCAGATCATTAAGGAAGATGTTGAACAAAACTGGCCCCAGGACCGACCCTTGGGGCACTCTGCTTGATACCGGCTGCCAACTAGACATGGAGCCATTGATCACCACCTATTGAGCCCGATGATCTAGCCAGCTTTCTATCTACCTTATAGTCCATTCATCCAGCCCATACTTCTTTAACTTGCTGGCGAGAATACTGTGGGAGACCGTTCCAAAAGCTTTGCTAAAGTCAAGGAATAACATGTCCACTGCTTTCCCCTCATCCACAGAACCAGTTATCTCATCATAGAAGACCACTAGATTAGTCAGGCGTGACTTTTCTGCAGGGTGATTGTGCTGCAAATTGTTCTTTGTGTATGACGCCCACCCGTGTGTTGCCATTACAAGAGGGTAGCTGAGGGCCCCCTTTTGAGGTTGCCCCCTTTTGAGGTTACTTACCCCGTGAATCCTGTAGGCAGATGTTTTGCCGAAATGCCAGCAAGTGCACAATCCCGTTCCCTTCCTTTCCCTGAGTCCCCACCAAAACTGTTGGGTGGAAAACGAACTCATTCTGCTGGACACACTGCCGATTTTAGGGACCACAGAGCCACTTAAGGACAGGAGAGGGTGTTGTGCAGAGAGTTTCCACCTTACAGGCGGAAAGTGCCTGTTCCCACCCCTCTGGTCGTGTGTCATTACCTTTCTTCCTGCAGATATGTCACCTTGGATTGGGATCTACTCAGATCTCTTGAACTACGCAGCTCTGAGCCCTCCATTCCTTTGGTGGGAGAGCTGCACCGAATACCCGAGGTGCGCTCAGAAGTTAGGCTGGTGATTCAGGAACGGGCATTCTTCCCTCCCAGGTCAGCACGGAGCTAATGCCCCAGCGAGCTGCCTGAGGTGCCTCTTGCTGGTGGGTTGCCAAGCAGAAGGTTCTGATCCTTAACGACTCCATTGAAGTCAGTAGGGCAGATCTTTGGCTGATGTGCATCCGCATAACTTCCTTGCCGCAGAGCTCCGGACGTACATTAGCTGAAGATTTGGCTCAAATGAGTTACACTCGTGTAAGGGAGGGAAGAATGGGATCCTTTATTTCTTTATGTGTTTGTTTTTCTTCCATGATTTTGCTTTTATTGCTTTAAGACGTCACACCTGCGTTGCTTTGGCTTGTCTCCAGAGCAGCAGGTGTGTAATGGCCATACGGGAAAGGATTAGAGATTAAAACTGTGCACCTAGCTATGCCCAGTACTGCTTAGCCTCCACCAATCTACTGACTGGCGATCAACCGCATCACTGCAAACAGACAAGCAAACAGTATCGTTGCTAGCGTAAAACTGTAGGAAAATCACTGACGGTTTTTTGTGTGAAGTGCTTATTAACGGAAATAGGAACCGAATCATATACTATATGCTGCTAAATTATACAGAGACAAGTGTACTTGGATGTAAATAATGGTCTAGTTCTGTATATATGATTATTAAACAAAACAAAAAAAGAAACTTCTGTAACTTCTATGTGGGTGACTGTAGGAGCAGAAATCATTTTCAAGAGCTAAGTTCTGGACTACAGGCCTCATCCGACAAGGTGCTCAGCATCCTCAAGCCCCCATTGACTCCAATAGGAATGGGGGGTGTTCTCCATCTCCCTGGATTGGGCCCTTGCTCTCCTGTTTATCTCTGTGTTCCTTCTACCCATTGATAGTCCTGTGGAGAACCTGAGATGTTGACGTCCTGTTGTTGCTTTGGTGCGTACCTTCCACAAAGCCCACCTAGACAAGGCCATTAAGCTCCCTCCATTCTTCTTCTGAGACTTGGATGCCCAGAAGAAATGCCCAGAGAGGGACAGCCTTTGTAAGATGCCCTGAGATCTCCATCTGAAAGGGGTAAGAAAAATATAATGTGCTGCCTGAGAGAGCCCTATTTTGAAAGTGCTATGGGAGAACAAAGAGAACAGCCTTTCCCCCCTACCCCCTTGTGCCCCTCGCCTCATAGGAGAGAACTTATTAAATGTCCCTCACAAAGAATAAACTTCCTGGAGGTAGTGATGTCTCACCGACTGATGCGGGGCTCAAGGCCACAGCGGGCCACAGTTTGGCACAAGGGGCATGCTAATGTGCTCTGTAGTGATCAGGCTAATGTGTGTGAACTACTGCCCACTGCTGGATGGAATTGGCACTGCGTTATAGGACCTATGCTGTTCGCACCCGGTGGCAATAGGCCATTAGCTCAAGTAGTGAGGGACCGAGCTGCTGGGGCAGGTTTCAGCAGCCAGGATGTGCAGCACAGTGACAACAGTGAAGGCCTGGTTGGCCCCACATTTGATACAGTGCGAAGAATTCTCCTGTTTTTACCCCTGTAGCCTAAGACATAAAATCCACACACATGACCACTTCTGCCCCACCAGGACATTTGCCCTCAAGGCACTTCTCCAAACACCATGGAAGTTGCCCCAGCACATTGCCTGGGACCACCGTGCAAGCGCCCCTGAGAGATGTCGCACCTACGAGCCATCGCTCCATTTCCCCTTCCCTTTGGAACTCCTAGCAACTGGCTCGGCAAGCCAGCGGGAGTCAGCCCCTGGCAGGGTGAATCTCAGTGCCTACTATACAGGGGATCGCAGAAAGGCCTGGATCTTCCACTATTAAGGAACTATTGCCCTTCTTTTCTTAGGAACCATCTTCTGTTAGTAATCAGCTCCTTTGCCATGAAATTATTAGCAGGATCTGCCCTGTCATCCCCATCTGTGTTTAGAGCTTGACCTATGCTAGCTACGGCCAATTCAGGATTGCCTCTCTGGGAGCTGTGCTTGTCACCTGTTTTCCAGCACAACTATTGATCCCCATGATTTCCCGGTCCAGTGTGTGCAGATATTTCTTGGAACAACTTGTGCTAGCCAATAACATGCTCCGAACTCGCTCCCAAGTAATGTAGTTCTCATGCTCTGCCTATATTTGCCTAGCATGCGCCATTGTCACATGGCTTGTCAGTGCATTAGGTGGGGGCTCAAACAGTGTTACAACTGCAGCCAGCTGGCTGGAAAACGGTTCCAAACCGAGCAGCAAGCCGCAGTGCAATGCCTCATACACACCGCAGAGCAGCAAGTGGGGGAGGGATCCCTTAGAACTTTGTTTGCCAGATGTTACATATGTACACAGCTGTTGCCACCTCCCCCTCCCCCATAGGTCCCACAGATCACTCTTGATCTGAATGGAAAGGGAAACAATGACAGTCATGACTACTGCAATGTGGGAACTATTAGCAAACGCCAGCTTGTTAATGGAGACCTCTCTTAGCAGATCAAATGGAAGACAGGGCTCCGGAGCTAAGTTAGACACAGGGTGGTCTATTGGAGACATTGGGGATATGGCTCAAATTGGTAGGTGAGTCTGTTTGTTTAGATCATAAATCCTTGAATATATTATAAAATCCATAGCTTGGCCCAGTGTCAGGCAAGGCACCTGAAGAGCAAGGATTGTACTTTTCTGGAGTTGAATGGTTATTTTCTCAGAAGAAATCAATCTTGGCTTTCCCTTACAAAGATATTTAATTGTCGAGCAAGATTTAGCTGTAGCTGTTTCCTGCTCCAGATACTGTCAGGCAGAGCCATCCATTCTGATGGGGCCTTTAGATGCTCCTAATGTCAGACCATGCGTATAAGAAGCCCATAGCTTTCTTCCCTTGGAGCCAGGACTATGACATTTGGATGAGGGATGGGCCCAAGCTACAGAGTTTGACTTGAGATTGGAGTTTCCCCAGAGTTTGTGTAATACATTGGCCCAAGCCCTGGTTCAGACTCCATCTGAGTAAGTGGGAGTCTTTCCATTGCCTTCCCTGGGCTGTGATTCAGATTTCTGTGAATCAGAATCCCCTAGTATGCATGATCATGTCTCCCTCTAGGGGCTGGCCCCTGCAACTATAACAGCTTTCTGCTTCTTGACAGAAGGAGTCCTTTAACTCAGGCGGGAGGGCTTGTGTTTATGGCATTGAAGGTACCAGTTTGATCCCCACTGGCAACCATTGTGTCCATACTTTTACAGCCATAGTTTGCTATATTCAGATCCAAACAGAGACCGGGGCAGCTCTGAATTTTGGACTGGGATCCAAACTTGGTCAGAATCCAAGTATGGGCAGGTTGGATCTAGAGTATCATTTTGAGCCCATCTCTTAGGAAGACACTGTATTTCTCTAGTCTATTGGGATGGCACCTTGGCTCCTTTTGGATGACTGGAGGAACAAAACCACATGGGCAGATCTACCCCACTGGTGCAAAATGCCACACCCTAGTAGTGTGCTGAGCAAACCAAATGCCTATGCAGTTTCTTACCATGTGATGACAGAGTCAGGTTCTGAGCTGGAACCTCTGAAGGGTGTTTTCATTTGCACTTCCTCAGATCTTCTCTAAGTCTGACATTTGCTCTTCTAAAAGCGGTGAACCGGGAGCACCCAAGCATGTGGGACCCTGACAGGTGACCTGCCAGGAATGTGTCCAACCTGCCTTTGCATTTACATTGGGTTTTTTAAATCAAAACTAAATTTCCATGGCTTATTTGCTTGTCTCTGTCTTGTGTCTGTTCCTTTACAGCAACAGTGAGCCAGATCCTCAGCTGCTGGCAGTCCACATAGCTCTCTTGACTTTGGTGGAGAGATGCCAACTTAGGCCAGCTGAGGATCTGGCCTAACGTTGTCTGGGTTCACCAGCAATAAAAACCCCACAGCTGAACAGGTTGGAGCCTGGCCCTGCCGATGGTAGGGGTTGGGTTAGCTGCGGGCGGCTTCTTTGGAATCCGCATAGACCTGCAGGCAGCACTTGGGACAGCCCTACTGTAAATGTAAGTCCTGATCTTCTGCAGCTAAGTCCTGACCTTGTGCGTTTTGTTTCTTACTCACTATCTGCTCTTACTGTGAATTCAAACCAGAAGTTAAACTGTTCCCCTGTGTTCCGCATTGACTTTTGATGGGTTTCTCTGAACTCCGTCTAGCAAGACTTGGAAAAAACATCCACGAAAACATATACTTTCAAAAGAATAAGTTTTAATTAAAACAAACCTAAGTGTGGCTCATGTCCACATTCAGACACCGTCGCATTAACTGTGCCTCTGGTAAATGTGTTTAAAGAAAAGAAATTAAAACAAAACAAAACAAAAAACCCTGGACTTTTTGTACAGCAAAGATGTATCCATTTAGAAACCTATTGTTAAACCTCCAGCACATTTCACAATCGACTAGTCTATTGTACATCCCCATCGGGTTATAATGTTGTGAAGAGTCACTGCCTTTTGGATTTTCTACAGTGTACATATATATATATGTCCATATAGAGATAGGTGTGTATATATATATGTAAAGATCTATATGTATACGTATCTCTAGCTATCTCTCTAGATCAATATCTGACTGTGAGGGGTTTTTATTCCAGCAAAATAAAATGGAGAAAGGCTCCTTTTAAGAATCTGCACTTCTGGCTGGTCTATATTTTCTTAGATGGAAAGGGGCAGTGGGAGCGAGTGGACAGACGCACTCGGCGTTCAGACCTCGGCAGCTGTGTCTGAGGTGGGAGAAGGTCGCACAGGTTTTAAAAACAAACCACAGAAGAAAGAAACTCTCGCCTCAGCTCGCTCTGAGCTTGGGGCAGTCTGGGTTTTGCTGGCTTTCATTCAATGAATGGATTTGTCACAGTAATAGAAGGGGGCCTTCATGCACTGGGTGGGAGAGTATATTATTAACCATTTGGTTACTGGAGAGTCCTTAAGGCACCCAATTCCCATTGAAAGCGGAGCCCCTATCTCCCATTTGTGTCTGTGCATCCCGCCACCCGTCCTTCCCTGATTGACAGATAGGGGCACTGTAGCTCACGAAAGCTTATGCTCAAATAAATTGGTTAGTCTCTAAGTTGCCACAAGTACTCCTTTTCTTTTTGCGAATACAGACTAACACGGCTGTTACTCTGAAACCTGTAGCAAGGAGGAGGCTCATCCAGGCCAGGTCGAGCTAATCCTAATCAGCCCTAGCTCCAGCTTCTGCCCCAGTTGGCATGTCTGATGTGGGCCACCATCCTTGTTCCTCAGGCTGACCACCCCTCCAGGAGGGAAGGCTGCTGGTAATATCTCAGCAGAGTGGTTAAGGAAAAAAGGGGACAGGTAGTGAGGGGCCACAGTCACTGGATTTGACACCAAGGGATTAACAAAGTGATCATGAATGAAGTGAGCTGTAGCTCACGAAAGCTCATGCTCAAATAAATTGGTTAGTCTCTAAGGTGCCACAAGTACTCCTTTTCTTTTTGCGAATACAGACTAACACGGCTGTTCCTCTGAAAAGTGATCATTGTTCCTCTGTTCTGCCTGAGAGCCTGAGAGTGGAGCTGCGAGCACTGGGAGGGTCCTGGAATGTTTGTTCTGGAGAGGTTCCTGCCTGCTATTTACTTCAATAGGGTTATTTATTGCCTTCTCCATTCCTTTCCCACCTTTGCTACACTCCAGCCAGGCTTCAAGAGAGGCCCTACGCCTTTAGTGCATGTTTCTGTCTGACAGCTGTAACACACAACCTCCTGCGATCGCTGCCCTTGGGGAGAAAGGACCCCCACCCCCTTTTATGGCTGCAGGTGGGCACAGGGCCAGGCCTGCGTGGATCCAACTGAAGGATCGAGACCTTAATGAGATTCCCTGCTGTCTGTGTGAGGGAGGGAGGGAGAACAACTGTAAAGGTAAATGCAACGGTAAAACCCCCAATTTTGCCCAGCAGACCACAGGGCAGAAGTTGGACCTGAACTTGCTTGTAACTCTTGAGTAAAATTGACTAGGTCTTAAACTGATGGGATTCCGTCAGTAGAACAGCAGGAGGGGAGAAGTGGGGAGGGAAGGGTGAGGGGGTCAGATGAACGGGCTGCTCAACTTGCCACCATCAGTTTGCTGCCCGATTGCCTGATGCCCCACCTGTTCAGGTTTTGAGGAGGTGATTTTCGATCCCCCGAATGTCTTTGAAAATTCCCCCCTCTCCCCCACAGCTGCCAGAAGTCTTGTTTTGCTCAGATTGGGCTGGAGGGAGCCCAGTGCTAGAACACAGAGTGAACGCTGGTTGTTCCAGCGGCTGAATAGAAACTCCAGGATGCAGCTTGTCGTGTCGGTGTCCCGGCCGCTGCCTTACACTGTCCTAGCTGCGCCAGCTCCGGAAACGTGGGCTCGTGAGCATACGATGAATAATGACTCGCTGGGAGAGGCTGGGTTATGGTAAGGGACAAGTCACTGAAGCCGACAGGTTCTTGCACTCCGGTTACTGCTGTGGTTCAGCCATGACACTCAGGCAAGAACTTCCAAATCCCAATACACGGAGATGAGCAAGAGGGAAGAGGGGTTTCCCAGAGTTGCCTGGAGGGGCCATCAAATATTCTTGCTCTACCCATGGTGCTAGCAGAGGGTTCTCTGGCCTCAGCCAACTTGCCACCATCACTATCTGGGTAATCAACATGGCAACATGAAGAGGTATCGGTATTGCAACCATCTTGCTCTTCCTCTACTGCTAAATGGAGGGTGGATCCTGACTAGATCCCAAGTAGGTGGGAGAGGGATCCCTGTACAGAAAAGGTTGAGTACCACCGAGCTTCTTTTGGTTATAAGAACTGCTCAACTGTGTGTCATAAGCCCAATACTGCTGACGGGGACCCTCTATTAGCTCAAGTGGTAGGGGCCTGTGCTCACTGAGCTGGAGGAGCTGGGGTCTGTCCCCAGTGTTGCCTTGGAGTTCTGCATGGCTGGGGTTTGCAGCATCATGAAAATGCAGAGTCCCAGGTAGGCACAGTGTTTACAGCATGAAGCAACACACACGTAAATGAATGGGGTGCATCAAACAAAGCAATTAGAAAAAATGGGGGGTGCAGAGCACAAGACTGGGGGCCAGGAATCCTTGAATTCTAACACTGACTCGAACACACAGGGAAGGGGAGCACAGGATTGGGGGCTGGAACAGAGAGGGTCAGAGGGACGGGGAGCACAGGCTGGGGGGGTTGGATCTCTGAGGGTTGGGGGGGGGAGCACAGGATGGGGGGGTGGATCAGTGAGGGTCGGGGGGAGGAGCACAGGTTGGAGGGGTGGATCAGTGAGGGTCAGGGGGAGGAGCACAGGTTGGGGGGGCTGGATTGGTGAGGGTCAGGGGAGGAGCACAGGTAGGGGGGTTGGATCAGTGAGGGTCAGGGAGAGGAGCACAGGCCGGGGGTCGGATCGGTGAGGGTCAAGGAGAGGAGCACAGGTCGGGGGGTTGGATCGGTGAGGGTCAGCGGGAGGAACACAGGTTGAGGGTTCAGATTGGTGAGCGTCGGGAAGATGGGGGGTGGATCCGTGAGGGTCAGGGAGGAGCACAGGATGGCGGGGGTTGGATCTATGCGGGTCGGGGAGGAGCACAGGATGGGGGGTGGATTGGTAAAGGTCAAGGGAGGTTGGGGAGCACAGGTGGGGGGGTCAGATCAGTGAGGGTCGGGAGGATGGGAGGGTGGATCGGTGAAAGTCAGGGGAAGTTGGGGAGCATAGGCCTGGGGGCTGGATTGGAGAGGGTCGGCAGGACAGGGAGCACAGGTCATGGGGGGCCTGATCGGGGAGGGTCACAGTTCTCCCTGAAATGAATTTGAAATGTTGGTCCGTTTGCCCGCCCTGTGTTGTGGAACACAACTGGGGAAATCTCACACACACAAGAAGCTGGGATTCACACCCCCTGCACAGGCACATCTCCAGCCTGCGCTACAGGAGAACTCCCCTATAACAGCAATAGTAGATCCTTTATCTTGCCTGTGGCCTGGCACGCTCATTCAGCGACACAAAGCTGGTTCATTACAACACACACACAAGAGCAGCTCTGATCCCCCGATACCCGCTCCTGGCTCACGTACACCTGCTGGGACGTCACACTGTACGTGAACGGGTGACATGTAGCACCGAATTCCCAGCAACCCAAGCACCTCCGCCATCTTCCAGCCGGTCATGTTACAGCTGCTCCCTACCATAGTTATTTCACATGGCAGCAGCTCTGCTCAATATCCCCTTCTGCCCCACTGCCCAGGGGGCTGCTGCCAAGCTGACTGTACACTGGGAACGGTCAGGCCTGACGTTGCCATTTCTATTTAAAGCCCCGAAGTCCCTGGCGCGGTCTGACTGCCTCAGACCCAGCATGAGCCGCCGTTAGACGTTTCCTCCTGACCTTGCCGCTGGCCGAGGCAACAGCTGCACCAGGCTAATGTGGCCTGTCCTAGCCCCAGAAAAGGCAACACATCTGTCTGGAGCAGCTGGTTTCCCCTGGGGCAGTAGTTGGTGCATGTTATGACTATCAGATGTATGTCCAGGTCTCCCCCATCGCTGCAAATTAATATACCCTGTGATCAGTGACTTATACTAGCCACACATCAATGAAGCAACATTACATGGGAGTTTTCATAACATTTTTGACCTCATACGGTGGCGGAATGACGTGACACACTGTGTAGTAGTGCCATGATGCTGGCATGACCCCAGGTTGCAGGGGTGTGACACCATGTGGCACCAGCGTGATTCTGGCATGACCCCAGATAGCAAGGGTGTAACACCATGTGGCACCGCATGACGCTGGCGTGACCCCAGGTTGCAGGGGTGTGACACCATGTGGCACCAGCGTGATGCTGGCATGACCCCAGGTAGCAGGGGTGTGACACCATGTGGCACCGGAGTGATGCTGGCGTGACCCCAGGTAGCAGGGGTGTGACACCATGTGGCACCGGAGTGATGCTGGCGTGACCCCAGGTAGCAGGGGTGTGACACCATGTGGCACCGGCGTGATGCTGGCGTGACCCCAGGTAGCAGGGGTGTGACACCATGTGGCACCGGCGTGATGCTGGCGTGACCCCAGGTAGCAGGGGTGTGACACCATGTGGCACCGGCGTGATGTTGGCGTGACCCCAGGTAGCAGGGGTGTGACACCATGTGGCACCGGCGTGATGCCAGTGTTAACCCAGGTGGGGGGGAGGCATGACACCGCGTGGTGTTGGGCTGACGCTGGTGTTACCCAGGGGTCAGCGTGTCCGTACACGGACACAAGGGTCCATGGTAAAAAATGCTGAGGTCCGTGGTAATTTTTCAAAAAAGGGAATGACTGAATGACATACCCCCCACCCTCACCCCCCCATGCCCATCACTAAGTAAAGTTATTTTGTCAAGTGTCCGTCGCGCAACATGGTGCCGACCCCTGGTGTTACCCCGTCCCCACATGGCTGAGGCATGACAAAGCGTGGCAATGGCGTGGCGCTGGCATGACCCCTGGTGGCAAGGGCATGACATGAGGTGGCGTTGGCATGACAACAGGTGGCAGGGGCGTGACCCCCGTTGGCGTTGTCATGACAACAGGTGGCAGGGGCGTGACCCCCGTTGGCGCTGATGCCCCCAGCCAGGCGCGCGGCGCGGTCTTTGCCCAGGGGCCGGGCACAAGCGCAGGCCGCGGGCGGGC